AATCCAACAGCAGCCTGAGTCTACACACAAAGGCTCACGTAGGCCCAGAATCCTCGAGATGACAGACAAGTAGAAGGGAAAACACAGTAAGAAATTCACCAGTAGACACAGCAGCTGTGACAGAGGTGGCGCCTAGTTCTTTCAGCCTCACGAGCAGCACCTCTCAATGACAACAACAAAGTCCATTTTTCCTTTAAAAACCTCCAGGAAGTCCCACCTTTGGCCTACTTAACTTGGGAACAGTTTGGCAGGGATTCCCACTGTCTTTTGTTAGTTCTCTCTAAAAAAATCTCACCTTTAAACCCCATTCCCAGCCCCTGGGGACCCTCCTTTCTTGCTATAGACAATATATCTACATTCCAAGTTAAAGCAATGATGTCAGTTTTTGTGTTTGTTTTAGAAAGTCTTGCTGTATAGCTCCTGCCTCGCCTAAGTGTGCTACCAGAACTGGCAGCTAACTCTGTAAGTAAAGTCAGCTAGCTAAGTCCCCCTATCCTCCAGCCCTCATCAAGAGCAGACAGCCCCAGGAGCTGGTGTGGGTGCAGGAGAATTGGGATCATGCAAGCTAGGACCCAAGGTATAGGACCTTGGGGTTCTCCTGGGAGAATGGACTAGAAGAAATCCAGGGTGGGGTAGTCACCTGACTTCCGCGTGCTGAAAGTGTGGGCTGCTTCGAGGACGGTATCTTGAGTCAGCAACAGCCGCAGTCTCATGAGCCAGTGCAGCGTGTGGGTACTGAGGTGGGGGCCCACGGGGTTCTGGGCCTTCAGATGGGGGTCCTCGGGGTTGGGGACCCTGCTGGCTGCGGGCCAGCTGAGGGAAGCTGTGTGAAGAGCTCATGTGGCTAGGGACCCGAGCACCATTTCTTTCCAGGGACAACTGCAGAAGTCGTTCACTTAAGGAGCGTACATGGCCGTGCCTCAGCTCCCGCAGCGCCTCATCCTGCCGCCGGCTGCCTCCTGATGCCCCTCTAGGATCTCGGTCCCCAACATGGGGCCGGGGTCCCGCCTGCTGCGCTGCGAAGTACTGCGAGTGGGCTTTGGCCTCCTCATAGGTGGGCAGCTCTTCTCCCTTGCTGGGCTGTGGGCACAGCCGGTACAGCCTGTTCTCCGCCAGATGGGTCTCTCCACCTTGATGCTCCTGGCCCTGGGGCTCCTGCCTGGTGGCCTGCTGTAGCACTTGACTGTCCTCAGGTGCTCCGATCTCCAGGGAGGCCTGGGGGCTCCCTGTGCCCCCAGCTCCAGCCCCACCCCTCAGGGCCTGTTGCTGGATGGCCAGGAGCGTGCGGGTCTCTGTCAGGTTGCCGTAGCGCAGCTGCTCCTGGATGAGGCGGTGCAGGACTGTCCCTGAGGAGTCTTCCAGTGTCCTCATGCTTCTCTGGCTTGCACACACCTGCCTAGACAATGGCCAGCAGGCACCTGGTCCTAGAGCACCTAAGAGAAAGGATAGCAATCAATGGAAGCCCATAAGAGGGAGGGGGTGCTTGCCATAAACACTGCTTGAGAGAGGAGAGGTTTTACACAGGCCCAGATGCAAGTGCCAATGTGGCTGGCCATCTATTAAGTTTAGTACTGAACCTCTGATCATCAGTTTGTCTATTAAAAAAAAAAAAAGATTGCTTCTTGGAGAAGCTGAGCGCCTGGTGTGCTATAAATCCTGGGCAAATGCTTATCGTTGAAATGACATTAATGGAGCCTTAACTGATCCTACAGAAATACAGTAGAAAACCAGAAAGGCTATCTAATAGGGACCACGGTCCCCTGCAGTCAGCCGCTACACCCAGCAGTCTCGATGGACGACTCTAGGACAAGCCTCATCAAATTCAACCACTTAGCAGTCTAGACCCCAGTTTACTAGCAGATGATAAAGAATGAATGTTGCGCGGTAGAAAGAAGCCCTAAGTCACTGACCCCCATGATCTTGAGAATGAAGATGTTTGAGCCATGGGTAGTCCACCACCCTTCACCTGCTTCTCATCCTGGAAGCAGACAGTCCCTGGGAGACGGACCCTGAGCTCAGCTTCTTCAAGGGCTGCCTATAAAATAAATCCGGGTCTTCTTGCCGTGGCTGACCTTAGCAGTCATTCTGCAAGGTGAGCAGGCTGGAGAAGCTGTGTGTGAATTGGCAAATGCAGCTAAAGAAAGCTCTTAACAATAGGACAATGGTCTTGTGAGGAGGCAGAAGTGCGCTTGAGAACTGGAGCCAGAGAAACATGCCAGATTTTATGATCATCCTCCTTTCTTGGCACACACATCTGCTACTTCGAAAAGCTCCTACTTGTACCCTAGGTACACAGGGGACCGTCCCTCTGCATCTCTACTGACATTAGAAACAACCACCTGAGCCCAATTGATGGCGTAATGAGGTGAAGGGGAAACGAGGGAAATGTGCCCGGTCTCAGTTTGGGAATGGCATGTTGGCAGAGCTGGGGGAAGGAAATGAGTCCCGAGGTCACCTATGCACTCATTCTTCCCAGCACCCAATCCTCCCCGCACTGCACCCTACAGTGTGTAAGACTTCAGGAGTCTACTCGCACGCAGCTTTTTCTTCGCGGTATTTCCTAGGTTAATCACTGTCTGGGCTGACACCCGCTAAGGAGGATCCGGGAGCGGCTAGAAGGAATGCGGAGCCTTCGCTACAGATTCCAGGCGTGCCAAGTATGAGCCGGGCACCCGGAGCAAGGAACATTTCCGAGGCCTTTCATCGCACACAGGTCCCAATCTAATCCCCTAGATGCACAATCTTTCAAATACCTCTAGGTGAGCCCTTACTAAAAACCAGCTTCCTTACCCGGGCGTTGCACCTGGGCTGCTCCGGCGCTCTGCACTCGGAAAACTACCTTCCTAAGCAAACACGCGTTTCTGGCCTTGGCCTGGGCTCCCTCTAGCAAAAGGAACCAAAGCTAAGTTAGCCAGACCAAGGCTCCTGCTCGACTCGAGGCGGACCACTAGCACCGACGACTGCCCGAATGCCCCGGGAAAGCAAAACCCACAACCGCGAGAGGTCTTTAAGCATCGCGGGTCCGCCTATCTCCCTAGACCTCTTTGTTTTCCAAATACTCCAGCGCTGACGTCACCGGGCTGGACAGCAGGCTGCATTCTTTCTAAGTGAGAGCCAGTTCGTGGCTCCGGAGAGGATTTTCCAAGGAAGACAAAGAGGAATTCTTGAGCTAGCTGAGGGTAAAAGCCACCTGTATCCCCAATCTAGACAAAGCAGCCACCTCGGCCCTGCATTCGGCAAGATATGCCTACAGCCCTTTTCCACTTGCCCCAATCGCGAGACTCACACCCCCAAACACCGATCCTCTGTCCCTCCTCCAGCCCCAGTGGGCCGGAGAGCCGGTCCGACAACCCCCCTCCAAAGCGCACACCGCGGGGCTCCCTGGGCTAAACAGACGCCTGGGATCGATCCTCGAAAGGGTGCACCGCTTCCCCTTCCCCTCCCGGAGAGGCTCGTTCTGGCCAGCTCCGATTTCCAGAAAATGCCGGACAGACCGCAGTGTCGGGGTGCCGCTGGGAAGCGTCCCCGCTGGCCTTGCGCGCTGCCCGGAGAGCCGGGCACCTTTCTTACCGCTGCGGCCCGCGGCTGCCAGCGCGCGCAGACCGAGTTCGGCTTTAGGTCGGTTCCGCAGTGGAGGTGCGCACTCGCCGGTGGCGCCGACGTTCTGACTGCTAGCGCTCCACTGCGCAGCCCCTGGGTCAGCCCGCGCTGGAGGCGGCTGCTATGCCAGGAATGTGAGAGTTTCAGGTTCCCCCTCGGGATCAAAGCGAACCACAAATAACCTCTCAGCGCGCCGCCCTCCTCCGCCCTCCGCCTCCTCCCGTTCCCCGTCCCGGCCCCCGCCTTCCTCCCGGGAGGCGGCGCTGCGGCTGGCCGCTGGGTTAGCCTCAGCCTTGTCCCCTCGCCACCCTGGGCTCTGGCGGCTGTGCTGCGTTCCCTGCCCCCTGCCTTACTGTCCTAGTTGTTGTTGGGGGTGTCTTAACCAACTCAGCCCAAGATCGTCCCACCACTGTCCTGCGCCCGGTTCGCACCCGTTGTTTCTACAGCCACCGAGGACGACTGACTTACAGGGAAGAGCCTCGTATGCCCCTCTGGTGGCTGAGGGAGGGGTCTCTGGCGTTTTGGAGACGGCGGGAGGATTGCAAAGGATTCCACATCCGCCCAGCTTTGACCGTGCTGCAGGGGAACCGACGCTTCAGCTTGCAGCTACCCAGCCTCTTTCCTAACCTCTACTATTTCACCCCCCAGCGGCAAACTTTGAATTGCACTTTTATTGTTTACAAACACCTTCGACAGCTCTTTTAGATCCTGCCTCTACAGGAAGTGTGAATCTGGGTTGAAAATCTGGTGGATTTGACCCACTACCCAAATAAATCACCCTCCACTAAGTCCAGCTCCACTCAGCTTTAAGCCGAGCACGCGGCGGGTCACCACCCACATTCCACTCGGCCGTCCGATTCCAGTCACCCTCTGATGGTGTTTTCTCATCATCTCTATAATAAATAGGAAACCAAGGCTCAGAGAGTTTAAGCAGTAGCTGATGGAGCCAGATCTCTTTTCGTGGTCACCTGAATCCGGGCTCCCTAACCGAAGAGGGCAAGTCCAGGGAGTATCTGCTTCCACCTACCTGTCCCCAATTTCAGTATATTTTCCACCTCTCCTACACTCAGAAACCCTCTTTCCTGTCCGCTTCGCTGACCGCTTCGCTGACCGCTGATTCTTGCTGTTCGGCCTCGGTGTGAAATGTTTCCCCCTGTCTTTTGGATCCTTTTTTTCCCCTTGGTTTTTCGAGACAGGGTTTCTCTGTGCATCAGTTCTGGCTGTGCTGAAACTAAGTTTGTAGACCAGGCGAGCCTCGAACTCACTGACATCGGTCTGCCTTTGCCTCCTCCCAAGTGCTGGGGTTAAAGGTGGACCCTTCTACCTCCCCAGGAGACCCCTTCTTAAGTAAGGCAGCTCTGACTCTCTCCTGGGGGGGGGGGCCCCCCCAGGAGCTCCAGTGGCGTTTGTTCCTCAGGCCCATCCACTTAGAGTCAGGGCTGATTTCCGTTGCTGGTTGGCCGGGTCCTCTCTTTCCCTCAGCATAGAGAGGAGCAGGAACAAGCACCCTTTCAAGCTGAATAGCCAGGGATGTGGGAAGTTTTTCATAAAGCTCCCCTTTAAAAGTGGGGAGTCCTAAGTAGCTTTTGCAGAGGATGTGCCATTGGTTCCCAGCCACCTGGCCGTTCACAACCATCCACAACCCCAGTTCCAGGGGATATGACACCCACTTCTGAACTATGCTGGTACTAGGCACCCACGTGGTGCTCATACATGCATGCAAGCAAAACATGCATACATATAAAAGAAGTAAAAATCGAAACCCCCAAAATGTCTATATGTTTTGCTTGAATTTCAAACATTGCATTCCAGATACTGATTGTGTCTGAGCCAAACGAGAAAACAACAGATGTGTCGAGCTAAAGTGCACCTTACAAAAAGAAGCTGGGGCCTGCAGCACACCATTGTCCCCACCAGCTGCAGAAGGTAAGAGTCTTAGGACAAAGACAAAAGAAGAGGTTCCCAAGTGTCCTCACTTCGTGGACAGCGTTCTTGAAAACCCTTGGTGGAGACACTTAATAAGCGTAGGTAGAGGCCCATATGCTCTGAGTTACAAAATCAGGGGAAAGGCCGTATGGCCCACCCAGTCTTGTGCTTCACTGTGCTTAGAGGGGTAACTAACAAGATGTTTGCCAAGCAAGCATTCCTGGGATAGTTGGAGAAAGCGGCCAGCTTAAGGCAGCTAGAGTCAAGAGGAATATTTTGGGTTGGGCAGGCCTGCCCCAGGCCAAGACAAGCCTCACGTCAGCTTGTGTTTGTAGCCAGGGGGCCAGTGTGGGGAAGAGGGATTCTCAAATGAAATTTATATACATTTTTCTCCTCTTTGCAAGAAGGATAGAGGGTGGGGCCTCTCAGGCAGGGCCCGGCCTAAGGCTTCAGTGGAATCTGCCTGAGCTGGCAGCACACCTGATTCTACAGGATGGTGCAGTGAGAAGGTTGCCCCATCTCAAATGTGCCAGGAGAGCATACACACAGGTGGGCACTGGGCTAGCTAGCATGCTTGCACACCAATCTTCGCTGAGGCCAGGGGAAAAGAAACTCAAGGAGGGAGATGGGGCTTCCTAGCTCACCTTTGCCTTTCCCTTATTCTCCCCACCCCCACCCCCTGCAGGTAATAATTCTTCCCAGCCACTCTGTGACTTGCTGGGTTTGGAATCCTGCCCAGGAAAGCTGCAAAGCTGACCCAATTCTCAGAGAAAGCCATTGCTCTGGAGAGCTCAGCTCACAGGGGCGTGACTGCATCAGAGGTGTGTCCTGGGTTTAGCAAATTGTCCAGATACCCACACCCTCCTCTGCCCGGGCAGCTACATCTCCCAGCCCAGTCCCCTGCTGGAATATGAGGACCCTTCCTTAGTGGAGCTCCCCCATCCCACCCCTGTGAACTACTGAGAACATCTTCCTCACTTCCCAAATGGTTGACTGGTGGAGGAGGGACTCTGGGCTCCAATGGCAACATCAAAGGGAAGCAGCTAGTTGTGAAATTCTCCTTCCCAGCTTCCCTTGACACTCTACTTGACAGGTTATGGGAACAGGAAGCCTGCCAGAATCTGGGGCCAGAAACAAATCACCAGAAGAATCAACACATGAATGCCGTGGAGAAGAATATACCAACGCTTCTCTGCTCCGTGGCAGAAGAGCTTTCCGTGTTTTTCTACACACCTATGCTCATCCTCGTGGCTTCCCACCTCCCCCACTACCCCTAGATTCTATTTCCCAAGCCCTACCTTCCATCACTGTCCCCACCCCCTTTTGTCCCCGGGGTTTCAACCTAGCAATCTCAAACAGGATTGCTTGGAAAGAGGGGGCTGTGTCTGTCCCTGGGGTTAAATCCTCAAAAGATGGAGCATTTGTGAATTAAGTCCGGTCTCTGTAAAGGTGTCCAGGTCTCTCCTGAAACTGACGGAGCCAGGTTTTCCAGGCTGTGTGAACTCCTTGAGCCTCGGGCCATCCTTGGTGGTCTTTGCTTTGGTGATGCTGCAGGGGTGGGGCTGCCCTTGTAATTGGTAAGGACAGGAGCACTTTGCCCACTGCTCCATTACCTTCCCCTTCACTGGGGTTCATGAGTGCCCAGAGCCTGGTTCTGCATGGAAGACATGTCTAATGGAAGTTGGCATATACAGGAAGAAACTGCTGAGAAACACACTCTTTAGTTTACTCTTCTCTTGATAGCTGTCACACATAGGAAGGGGAAGGGCGTCCAGAGCTGGCACCGGCAGGCCAATGAGCGAAGGCAGGTTAGTTTAGCCCCTGATACCTCACTTTTCTGTGAAACCAAGAATGACGGTTACTGTTTTAGTGGGTGAACCACTGATGCCAGGAAGGCCCTCTAGTCTCAATAAGAAGCTGCAGCCAACATGGGGAGATCCGGGGTTTGTAGTCTTTGTAGGGCAGGGTCCCCTTTTCTACCTGGGAGTGGGGGTGCATGGGGAGGTACAGCCAGTGCGATGAAGGAGTGCCCCCTAGTGTCACCAAGTGTTCCAAGGGTGGGTCTTGGGTCTGGGTGAGAGGGTAATGTTTGGCACAAGGTTTCATGCAGGGGTAGACATCTCCCAGACTTTTCTTTTCTTTACTTTTCTTTTCTTTCCTTTTCCTTTCTTTTTTTCAAGACAGACTCACTAAATAGGTCAAGCTGGCCTCACGCTCACAGAGATCCACCTGCTTCTGCTTCCCAGTGTTGAGTGCTGGACATGTACCACCATTCCCAGCACCCAGACCCTTTAAAAAGTAGATTAATAACTGGGCAGCGGTGGCACTCAGGAGGCAAAGGCAGGTGGATCTCAGAGTTCTAGGCCAGCCTGCACTACAGAGCAGATTCCAAGACAGCCAGGGATATACAAAGAAACCCTATCTCAAAGACAAAAAAACAAAACAAACAAACAAACAAAAAACAAAGCAACAACCACACACACACACACACACACACAAAACAGATTAATAGCTTCAGTTGTGGTGCTGAGTTTTTCTCCCATCCCAGTCTCTCCCCGGTTTCCTCATTTTCTTCAAAGGCACACAGGCGGCTCTGACACCGAGGAAACACTGCAGCCACTCATCGGTTCAACCCCCCCCCCGCCCCTGCATAACTGTTCGCTCTCACACTTCCTATATTGTTTAAACATTTCCCGGGCATCCGTTGAGATACCTCTGAGAGCTAGAAGAGTTTCCATCTCTGGTGATTGAATGAGAAGGGCTCCCATAGGCTCATGTTTTTGAATGTTTGGTCCCCAGGTGGTGGTGCTATTTGGGTAGGTTGGGGTGTGGCTTTACTGAAGGAAGTCACTCTGGGCAGGCTGGAGGTCTCAAAGCTTTGACCCTTCACACTCAGGCCTGTTCAGTCTCGGTGGCACACTCCCTGAAGACCCCAGACAGTGGTTCCAGTCAAGGGTATTCTTCTGGAGACCACCCTCCATCTTTATTTCAGGGTTCTCCTTCATTTACTTGTATTTGGTCCCATGTTTCTTGAACTCTTTGTCTTCGTCTTTCTGGGTTTGCAGTTTGGTAGGATCCCTAAGAATGGATTTGCAGAGGGCAATTTTTAAAGAAGCTGTTCATGATACAGAGCATCTTTTAAGCACACGCACACATACACACACACACACACACAGAGTGAGAGTGAGAGAGAGAGAGTGTGTGTATGTGTGTTAATGGGGTGGTTTGGCAATTAAGATCACTTGACTGCCATTCTTGAGGACCAGGGTTCTATTCCCAGTACCCACACAGCAGCTCACAACCATCTGTAACTCTAATTCCAGGAGACCTAATACCCTCTGCTGGCCCAGGAGAGGGACCAGGCTCACATAGAGTGCACAGACTTATGCACAGCAAAACAACTGTCTTAGTCAGGGTTTCTATTTCTGTAAAGAGACCCCACGACTATGGCAACTCTCATAATTGAAAATATTTAACTGGGGCTGGCTTACAGGTTCAGAGGCTTAGCCCATCATCACCATGGCGGGAAGCATGGAGGCATGCAGGCAGACATGGTGCTGGAGAAGTTGAGAGTTCTACATCTGGATCTGTAGGCAGCAGGAGTGAGCCACTGGGTCTGCGTTGGGTATTTGAAAGCCAAAAGCCAACTGGGTGCTGGTGGCACACACCTTTAATCCCTTTCTATATTTTGCTATCACCTCACATTTTTAGAATTTTTCTTGTTCGCTTCCTTTTTCTAACATTGTCTTGTTTCACAATTTATCATCTTTAGTCCTCTGGGAGTGGAAAGTCCAGTAGAAATTCTTAATTCTTTCTGGCCTCCATACTGTCTGTGTCTCCTTGGAGTTCACTTGTTTCTGTTTGTTTGGCTCTCTATTTTTCATAGTTACAGTTTCCCTCAAATGACTTTGACTCTTGGCTGTCTGATCCTCTTTAAGAGGGAGGCATTCAGGCTGAGGAAATGGCCCAGTAGGTAAAGTCCTGCCACGAAAGCATTAGGACCTGAGATTAGATCCCTCAGCACCCTTATAAAAGCCTGGGAAGGCAACGGGGTGGGGGTGGGGTAGGGTGGGGCGGGGTGGGGCAGGAGACAAATGGACTTGTCTTAGGGACTCATTGGCCAGACATTCTCTCTCTCTTTCTCTCTCTCTTTCTCTCTCTCTCTCTCTCTCTCTCTCTCTCACACACACACACACACACACACACAGAGAGAGAGAGAGAGACAGAGAGACAGAGAGAGACAGAGAGAGAGAAGCATGATGGATTTAGCAGTGAAGGAAGCCTCATGTCAGGGCAGTATTCTTAGTGGGTCTCTCAGGAAAAGAATGGAACAAGGCTGTGGCTGTGTTACTGTGGACTCAACCAATAGGAGAACACGTAGGTCATTTGTCAACTATGCTTCCAATCTTTCTTCTGGAAACCGGGCTGACAGGTGTGGGAGCTGGGCTGGCAGATGTGGAAGCAGGCTGGGAGAAACCTGAAGGGGGAGTGGGGCATGCCAGGTAGCTCGCACCACCTCAGTCTCTCCAGATTGCTAACCCTGTAGCAGCTCAGCGTGACGTGGGCGGAGATGGCCATCTGCCTCTCTACACCGGAAGGAGAGCAGCTTGGAGAGCCTGGTCAGCCTTCCTGTTTGCAGCCTCCCTTCATCCCTTGCCCCTTCTTAGCTCCCAGGGCCTCCACTTCCTGAGATTGTCGGAGGCTTTGCTGAGTTAGCGCCTTGTCCTCCCCAGACATCCAACAGTGGAGAGAAAGTGGAAGCCTCATTCATTTGCTTCCCGACATCCAGGATGTTCTCCATGCCTGGTCCCGAAAGGGTGTTCAGGCTTCTTTGGTTGAAGGCAGGGTTTGCTACTCCTTCTCACTGCTTTGGACGGAGCTGCTAGGCGAAGGTGCTGCTCTCTCTTCCCAGGCAGCCTCCTTTTGGTTTTTCCCACTGTGCTAGCTCGTTCCAGGTCTTGTCAGGACAGAAAGCTGGCAAGCTCAGGGTTGCTGGGCTGGTTCTACCACCTCAGAGCTTGCTTTCCATGTCAGTTCCCCTCCGACTGCCAGGGTAGGCCTAGGTGGGAGGCATTTCTGTAAAGTTCAAACCACAGAGACATGGCCCCTCACTCAGAGTCTCCAGAGTTCTGAGGCCAAAGACATGGCCTTGGAAAAAAGGACTCAGTCAGGCCTGAATCTACCACTCAGGGGTCTCTTGACACTGCTTGCAAACATCCTTTCTCTTCAGTAAAACCACGCCGCAGCAAGCTGACCCTCCTGCTTACCCAGAGCAAGTGTGTGACAGAGGCAGTTGGCAATTGCTTCCCTCGGGCTGCCTGCCTTCAGGGACCACCTCCTGAGGGTTGAGCCTCTTTCAGCCTCTTTGGAAGAGTTCTGTTGTTTAGCCAGGGTGGGCTGGGGCTGGCTTTTTGTAGAGGCTCTCCCAGTGTGTTGTGGAGATGCTGGTGGAATAGGACAGGGAGATCCCACAGTCAGCGTGCCCGCCTCCTTGACAGGGGCAGAGGAACACACTTCTCTGTGAAGAGCCTGCCATTGTCTACGGGAAAGAAGCCACATGTGTGAGAATAGGTGGAAGAAATGAGAGTGACCTTAAAAAGAAGTTAAGGAGTGAATAGATCACAGTAAAGAAGTTACTATTTCCATCAAGAATTCAAGATGGTTCCAGGGAGGAACAGGGAATGGCGGTGTCCACATGAAGTCTGGATCTTGGCTAAACTCCATGTAGGAGACATGACAGGTCCCAGCTCCCCAGCCTGCGTATTCAAGCCCTTTCGTCAGATACTCTCTGAAATCCAGACTATTTTCAAAGTGGAAGTGACTTGGAATCTGGCCCTTGGACAGAGAAATTGATCTGGGGAAGGCACAGGGGAGTTATCTCTGGAAGGTCAGAGGAGAGGGGTGACAGTGGAGAAGGGGAGGGGAGGAGAGGGAGGACAGGTAGATTGTTAGTGTTTTGGACAGTGTCAAAGCTGAAGTTTTAATATGATAGGATTTAATATAAAAGCACATACTAATATAAAATAAACAATGAGATCAAATAAAAGCATATAATAATATAAAATAAACAATGAGATCTGACGATTTTAGTGTCGGTTTGATGAACTTTGGCAATTGTGTAGAGTTTTATTACCATATTCTAATAAGGTCGTTTGTTTCTTTTTGTTTGTTTGAGATAGGGAGCTCCCTGTGCAGACCTGACTGGACTTGAACTCACGAAGATCTGCCTGCTTCAGATTCCTAAGTGTTGGGATTAAAGGCACACACCCAGCATGAGGGCACTCTCTCTCCCTTTTAAAAGATTTATTTATTTTTATTTTATGTATGGTTGTTTCGCTGTATGTATGTATGTATGTATGTATGTATATATGTATGTATGTGTACTGCATGTATGTTTGGTACTCCTAAAGCCTTGGAGAAAATGCCTGATGTCCTAAAAGTGTAGTTACAGACTGTTGTGAGACAGAGAATGGGTGCTGGAGCCCCTGGGGTCTACCTGTCTCTGCCTCCAAGTGCTGGGGCTACAGATTTATGTGCCCCTATACTCAGTTTTTTATCTGAGTACTGGGGATCCCAGCTCAGGTCCTCAACAAGCATTGTAGCTTTTTTTTTTTTTT